AGCAGGAAAGCTCACAGAAAAGGGCTGTCAGGTGTAACACTTCGTATTGTATATTGCGTATTATTATTTCCAGAAATGATGCTTTGCTTCTAAACTGCTGAATAGAAGAAAAACAAAAAACTCCTTCCTCCCCGCCCCCCCCTTTGATGCAGCAGTGTTATAAATGGAAACATGTAAACGAATTCCCTAGCTAGCTGGGTAATAAATCAATTCCTGTTCTAGAGCAGTGGAATGTGAAATATCACTCATTGTCCCCCACTCTGGGACAGCTTTGCGTGAAGGTCACATTCACCCGTATTTAAGGAGCCTGCAGGGAGCAATATGAAAAGTCATTGTGTGCTCTCTTCTTTCTATTTTTAGCACGTGTTAGAGAGATCAATTTTAGTTAACTGCAGTGGCGGTTTTAAAATAGTGTTGCAGTTCTCAGTTGTGCATTTACTATGTTTAGAATTTCATTGAAAAACAAATCCCACCAAAACTGATTTCTGAATATCAGACCAGTAAAACATGCTGCTGTACGTCAAATAACACTATTAGCCTCAGCTAAGTGTGATTTTTTTTCATTCAAAAAACAATAAAAAAAAATAACCGTGGCATATCAGCTATCAAAAAATACTCACTGGCACAGTTGTTTACAGAACTCTAAATGTTAGAGCCTGACTTCTCTGTCATTAACTTGTGAGGAATCTTTGCTATATTAAATACGCTGTTTTGGTAAGATTAATATCTGAGGACCAGGAAAACTCATTTGAGAATGTAAATAGTGAACAGTTTCTGTGTGTGTCCTCAGTACAAGATGAGTTTTACTCATGTATTTCACTGGGACTGTAAGATACACCACTTAGACACAAACCCACACTACTTTCCCACTCCGTGAATACAGGTCATCTCCTTTCACAGTACACTGCCATAATCATTGTAGCCACAAAATTAGAGACTACAACTGTCCCTAGGAGCAAAGGCTGGGAGATTCACTCCAGAATAAAATGAATAGGCCAGAAGCTAGTTAACAGATTTGCTATGTGTTGTCTTTTTCCAAACTCAGTTTTGGGACTGGTATCGTCTTTTTTGCAGCCTTGTGGCTGCAGCAGTGACTGGCATCTCAGAGGTCTAACGGGAAAGATCTCTTTTTGCAGTGCACAAAAGGAAGGTGGCTCTTGGTCCTTCGACATGAAATTGAGATCGGTGAGGGCGCATTTACTTCTTAGAGAAGACCATGGCATATTTAATTAAGCTTCTGGTTGATTGATGTATATTCTCGCTTTCTGCAGATGCAGAAATGGAGCTTTAAACAAGGCATGAACAGAATACCGTAGACCAGTCAGAGCCAGGAACCGTGACTGTGCCAGGTTCTGACCACCAGCCTACCATTTTTTCAATATATTGCAAAAAAAAGAAGCGCGATCATTAATGTCTCTGATGAAAAACACTTCCACTGTCAAGAGAACATCTAGTAGTTTAAAATACTGATGAAGATACAAAGGCATTGCGCTGAACGAGGGTGGTAGTTTGGCTGTTTGTCTGTTGGGCCCAGGTTGTGTCTCTGCCTGGACTGACTTAGACCTCACCTTCCTACAGGAATGCTTGCAACCTACCAACCTGTTGTCTAGTCTGGGCCCTCGTGTCTTTTCCATAACATTTTATAAGGTCTTAGCTTCATCCCACTGAACAATACAGGAAATAATTTTGTATGTTTGTTAGGGGGAGCGGGGGGAATCTCCACGTCTAGGCTATGCGTATAGAGCAGAGCAGCTCCTCTCAGAAGGCAGCTATGTTTGCTTTGCCATTTATTAGTGCAGCAGTTTACAAACCACCACCATCTTCCTGGCACTAGAGCAAGTCCTTATTTTCTGAAAGGCAGTCCTACACCCTCCCTATCTCCCCCACGACCTGTGTATTTCTTCCCTCCTTCTCCCATTTCCTCTTTCAAACCTGTTATCCCAATTTCTTTTCAACAGACTGCCCTGTACTCCCTCATTTCCTAACTGCACCCTTCAGAGTGCCTTTCCCAGGACCCCGGGTGCCGCCCGGCCCTTCCCTTGCTAATCTCGACCCCTGCCTGCTGCCCACACAGCAGCTGCCCCGACAAATTGCCTTTGATTCACGCGTTGTGGCTCCACTGATGAGAGCACAACACAATAACACACGATATAGGTCAGGGTCCTGAGCACTTAACTGCTCCAGGCGGTCTCCAGTGCGATTTTGCCCTCTGTCAGCCAGCACTCGCCTCCACTATTTCAGGCAGTATTTGAAAACCAGTGCAAACTGGGCACCATCTGCAGTAGCCCATTAGACAAGTTTGTGCCAATTTCAGTTCTCTCCACATTTCCCAGTCTTTCATCATCATTCCAGCAGGCTTTGCACCTCCTAAATGCCCTCAGGCTACACTCCAGGTCATGTAAAATACATTTTTCGCATTACGAAAGTGCCATTCGGAGTGTTACACACAATGGCTCATAGGTCCACGGTGGTACCTCTTGGGACACAAAGGAGACCCTGCAGCAGTCTGTGCCACTTGGCTGCGAATGATCAGTGGTCGGAGGAGGGGTTGGGTCAGGGTTTTGTTTGTGTCTCTGAGCTGTTGAGATGTGGCTGTTCCTGCCGTGCTGTGGCTGCGCTTCTTGAGGAGGATGTTAGTTCCTGCCCCTGCTCTGCCCTGGGTTTGGCTCATCCTTGCCGGATGAAGGGGAAAACGGGGAAAAGCAGGACCCTGCCCAGTAAATGCCGCACACAGGGGTTTCAAACCATGTCTCACACAGCAAGTTTTCTATGCCTAGGTGTTTTAAAACTCTCATATTTGTTCTCACTGATTGAAAGGAAACATTAAATACTTCATATGACTTCCAGACAGGACTAAAAGCGGGTGGGTGGGAAGGCAGATGGGTGATAGATAAAATTTCCATCTCTGTTCTTCCTCTCTCCTCTCTTCTGTGGCTGGTTCTGCCCTTTCCTCCCCTTGTCATGGGCAGGGTCCAGCTGCTGGGTGGAGAAAGTTTCCCTCTGCCTTGTTCTGCTGGCCAGGAGAGGAGCGTGCCCTTCTCCTGCAACATCAGTAATGGCCTTCCAGAGAGCAACTCCTCCATCTTGCATATGGCAGATCCACGCAGCAGAGGTATCATATGGGACGGGTTGTTGTATCCCTTCTGTCATAATCATGCGCCTGTACAAAGGACCACCCATTATTTGCACCATATTATTAGTAAAGCACTTGGATGAGGTCACTATAAGTGGAAGGTATTTTTATGATGCTAATGACATATTTAATGGGGAATGGGCAGCTCTGAACCCATTAACCTTTGCTCATAAGTCAGAATCAGGGATGAGGTACCTGCACAGCATCATTACCATTACTTCATTATTAATTAAGTGTATGAACGTACTCTTTGCTGGACAAAAGAGCCTTATTAGACAAGAGATGCACCATCAATGAAAGGTCATAGTACTGATTCACAAAGGGATAGAAAATCACACATATTTTTAATTCTGAAATATCGTTAAGTTGCTTTTGTGCTATTCTTGTGGTCATCTTTGTTGTGTTTCCTGAGCTGTGGGTTTGCTCGTGGTTAATGTGGTCACAAAAGGTGGTGCCAAGTGACACAAAAGCAGCTAAGGCCATTGTTGAATGGTGAAGCTTCAAATTACTTTTTTTTTTTTTTTCTGGTGTAAAGCAAATGAATAGAGGAACATCGCTGCTATTTTCACAGGTTGTTAGGAACATTTTCTGTCAAATCTGTATGGTGTAGGTGCCATGGCTTAATTCTTCCCTGCATTGTATCCTGAAGGCAGAGTTTAGATGTTTGAGCATATTTCATAAATTTGGTGATGTTTTTCTGAGTAAATTTATGTGAGTTTCCATTGTTATCTTAGCTTATGTGAATGCTTAAAAAAACTTATTATTAAGGGATAGAGATAGCCCAAACACTGCTGGAAGAGAAAGACACCTCTCCCCAAGAATCCTTTGGCTCAACCTGTAAGAGCTCTCCAGGCAACTGGCAGAAGCAGGAGCAGTAGGGCAGTGTAGGGCCTGAGAACGCAAAGGAGGCAGCGTCAGAGGCAGCTGAATGAGATAATTTGACAAATGTTCGAGTGGTATGAACTACAGAAGCTGTGAGTCTTAACTATGGTAACCTGACTTGCTACTCTTAGCTTGGGACACCCTATGTCTTGTAAACATAACTTCATTGCAGTGATTCAACCATTACTCCACCAGCTGAACTGCTGTGGATTTAGCTGATTGTTTGGGGTTTTTTTTATGCTGGAGGTGTTAAGAGGAAAGATAAAAACATTGGAAAAAAGCAGAAGGGAAGGGCTAATCTGACTGTATCTACTGTATTTTAATTTTGTACTTATTACCTTAGTATTTTTTTGCAAACAACGGTTACGTTTAGGAACAAGATACAGCTGTATAAAAGTCCCATAGTTACTGTTGTCCTGTTCCTAGCTCAGCCGTAAAAAGGTTTTCTGCAGTTCGAGCAGTTCGAGCCACAGTTCTGCAGGCATGAATAATCGTGAGTACAGAACTGAGTCTGCAGCTCATTTATGCTCAGAAATAACTGTATGCCTTAAAAACCTAATTTATGAGTGCATCGCATTTTGATTTGCAAAGTGACATTAATTGCTGTTGCAGTTACTTGTGCCAGAGGCATCTGAATATTTTTCCTTGTGTCTATACTCATTTCCACTGTTCTTTTTCAGTGGAAAGAGTCCTTCTGGGAAGGAGTTGAACAGTAAAAGAATGTGGCATTTGAACTGGGATTATTACCTTTTAAGAGGGCAGTGAATCTGATTTACTTCGTGGTGCTGGTGTACGAGGAAAGGGCCCAGCGTTGTGTGCGCACAGCACTGCAGAGCTGCTTGTAGCTGACAGTGACCAATGTAGCCTTCAGTGCTGGTTGGCAGCATTGACGTCAGCCCATAGCTGAGAAATTAGCTGAAGCCCGCAGGGAAAATAGGCAAAGAAAAACCATATAATTTCTCAATGCAGCACAACCAAGCTATTTCTCCTTTTATATTCTAGCCTATCAGCAAGACCTGCAATGCTTTGCTCAATTTGGATTCAGAGGAAAGGTTGCCAAAAATAGAGCAGTTAAATGTCAACATTAATGGTATCACAGCAGTAAAATATTTCTCACAGCAAGATGCCTGACTTATAGCTATTATTCACTAGTTGCCTCCTATTTTTTAGGCAAAAATGCAGCATGTCCTCCAGTCCCAAGCCACCCATTCTTATTTGGACCAAGAATTTGTCAGCACAAACAGCACGTGATGACAGTCCCAGAACTGCGTGTGCTAATGCAGGGCCAACCCTGCAACCCCTTCCTCACATGAACTACTCTGCCACAAAGTTGCTAATAAATAAAAATCCAAATTAGTAACTGGAGCAAACTAGAAGTGTTTTGAGGTAGGGGCTGCCATTTCACTGTCATCATACACCACCGAGCCCTGCCAGGTTCTGCCTGTGGTGCAGGCATTTAGGAGCTGCTGCACCACAAGTACTGGTCAGCTATAGGCATGTTGGGACCTCACTGTCCTCCTTTCGGAACATTTTGCAGGTAATATGCAGTAGTTCTGGAGCAATCTTAGGAAACAAAATCCAAGCTCTCAGGGGTTTGTGTGGTCACTGTAAGCCTATTTTAATTTAACTGTGGCTTGTGAGTGTTGGAGATGAGCGATGACAATCAGGCCAAAGAGGGGCAGCACATTATCTGGAATGGTTTCTAGTTTCTAGTGCTGCTAATGGGTGGTTGTCACTTCTGAAAGACCAAGTCATCCTGTCAGAAATGTCACCGTTGGGACTTTTTCTCTTTACAGTCTTAAATTAATTCTTTTTAATTTAATATCCAGTACCTACTTACATCCTGTGTACAATCTAAAACACATGTAGTGCCAACAGACTGAATGCAGAATTAAAAGTCCTATGTCTGATCCTGATTTTCCTTTGTTTGCTCGTGGACTCTTTCAGAGCCGCACTCCTCTTCCTCACAGGAGTACTGGGTGGAGACTTAAATAAGGAATGTACATAGTTAGAAAATCTAAGGTACTGTTTAAACGTTGAGCTTGCTAGTGACCATTTGTAGACCGTGCTCTGTAATCTCATCAGTACAGGCACAATTCGTTACAGCCCCAGCTAAGGAGCTTTGAATCTCGAAATCCATCTGGAGCAGATATATGTGTTTTGGGTTTTTTTTTTTTTTCTTATTTCTGGAGCAATTGGACCAAGTGTTGATATCTGTCTGGAGGTGACCAGTTGCAGAATCTAGTGACCTTCAAATGGGACTGGAGCCATGCTAGACTGAAAGAAAACAAGCAAGCAAAAGACTAACCCCAGCCCAAGAGGTGTGACATGACTTCAGGCCAAATGTTTGCTAGATCAGATTCCAGTCCCTCTGCTTAACCATCCAGGTGCAGGAGTATTCTGCAGTCCAAGAGTGCCATGGTCTGCGCTGCTACTCAGACTGTCATCCTTTGATCTATTTTTTTTTTCCACTTCCAGGAGAGAAGTATGAGCTGCATGCAGGAACAGAGTCCACTCCCAGTGTGGTAGTGCATGTCTGCGACAGCGACATGGAAGAGGACGAGGACCCAAAAAATTCTCCAAAGCCAAAAATCATTCAAACTCGGCGCCCTGGTCTGCCACCTCCTGTATCTAACTGAGCCTCTCCCGGCAGAAGCAGCACTGCTCTCCTCCGGCACAGCTCTTGGTTTTTTGTTTGCTTTGTTTTGTTGAAAGGCAGCCATCGCCTTTTGAGTACCAGGACATTAAACTTATTGAAATCCCTTCACAGTAATCAAGCCTATGTAATAAAAGGGCTAGGAAAAAGATCTTTGTATATGTAACCATATCACACACCAACTAATAGATTTTTTCTGGAAAGGACAAAACAAGGCTGAAGAAACAAGGGAGGGTTTCAGTCTGAGGATTTTTTCACAGCTATAGTTTGCATGCTGAAACACCACTACCAGAGAGGTCGTTCACGGTGGGCAATTAGGTCAATATCAGGCTTGATATTCAAACTCCCGCAATACTCGCTAGCACCCTTAAGCAGCCAGCTCCTCTGCCCTCCTCAGTACCCACCAGACCTTAGTCTTTTCCCTTTTTATTTTTTTTTAAGGAGAGGTGTGTGTTGTTTTCGGTCTACTAGCAGCTTGGTGGCCTTTTCATCCCCGTGGAATTTTCTTTAATCTTTGCAATACTTTTAGAAACACCAGAATAACACCCTCTACCACCAGTGGCTGTGAGTACACTGGTCATTAATGGTGACAGGGCTGAGACAGAGCTCTCCGGGCTGAGGGGAGAGGCAGCAGCTTGCTGGAGGGTCTGGTGTCTTTCAGTCTTTCTCTCTAAAGAGGGAGCCAGAATATCAATAGGGATTGTCATTTTATCTTCCATAAAGGTATAAGTGGTACTTCTCTCTGAGTTTGAAGAAGAAAGAGAAGCTAACTGACTGCTCATTTAAGATGGGATTCATTGCTCTCTGTCATAGCTGTAAGTTCTAGTAATGAGGAGGCTGAATGCTTTCCTAGTGGTGAGTTGAATAGCCCTGAAACTGTTAGGAATTACTTGTACATCCCCAATATTCACACCTCTTCCCTCCCCACTTCCTGTGCTTTAAAGCCCTTTATGAGCTGTATGCAGTTTGGGTTTGTGGAGGTGAGGAGAGGTTAGTTGGTGTTCTTTTGTTTGTTTGTTTGTTTGTTTGTCTCTTTTTTTAGGCCAAAGAAAACAGGACCATAATTACACACTTGAAATTAGACTGCATGCAATTGAATCCCCTTTTTTCACTCTGTCCTGCATGTTTCTTTCACTTGCAATGTATACTGGGTTACAAAAATTGTTCTGTGTTTTCATCATGGCTGACAGCAGACAGATACTGGATTTCTCTGTCTGGCAGACCTTCCGTGATGATTTTTATAATGTGTACGTGTCATTTTGAGAACATATTTTCTAGACATTTGAGCTCAGATTTTGCATATATTTAAGCATGCGCTTAATTTATGCACATGAGTAGTTCCACTGAAATTAATACTGCAGAAAACTGAGCATATGTATAAGATACGGTGGGATTTTTAAGCTAATTAGCTGCAGCTGTACTCCCAAAAGTGACTATAAAATGGCACAGTGAGATTCCAGAGTTTAAAATCCTTTACAAGTTAAAATAAATAAATACATCTTGGAAGCTCATTCTAGGATCTGAAAAGTCATCTTAGGTTCTGTAATCAAGATTTTTGTCATAAAACCTAATGATCTGGTTTCTGAGGGAGGGTTCCATTCCACCCTTAATTAGCAGTGAGGCTACAAGCTTCAGCAGTCAAGGCTCCCATGCCGGGGTATTGGCCCTGCAGTACTGCCAGGAAGAAAAGTGCACTGCTTTGTCAGTGAAGACAGGAGATGCCATTCTCAACACGCACGGAGAGGACGTTCTGAGAATGAAGACTTGCCATTCTCATGTAGTTCATCCTCTGACCACCACAGCCCCCTGATATTCCTGTTGAGGTGTAGTGCTTTACTTAACATATATCTATAATGTGATACTTGTTACTGCATTATGGCCATCGTTCTGCGTGTTACACTAATTGAAGCACGTTAAATACATCAGATACTTAACAAAAACCGGGGCTTTAGTATCCTTATGATATCTGTGTAAAGTTGTCTTAAAGTAACTCCTTGGAGGTTTCACTTCAATTATTTTTTCAGTGATGCATTTAGAATTGGTTTAAATAAAGAAATTGTCACTCACTGCCCTGGGACTATAATCGGATGTTCCTGTTGAGAACACCATTGTAGGCCACCTACAGTATTTCAGGCGTAACACCACTGTTTTTTGAGAACATACAAAACTCTTAAGGTATACAGGGTTTGGACCAGTATAAACAGGGAGAGTAAGATTTAAATGCATAAGATTTTTTTGTTGATATACGCTGTATGGAAGAAACTACTGGCCACATCTTCAACTGATATAAGCAATCAGAGATATCATCAACCGAAGTTGATGCTATGGATTTTTTTACATGCAAAAGAGTTAGAGGCTGAGTCTAGTCCATGTACTCAAACTTTGGAGACACTTGGTTCTGAACTACAGACTTGGGCCTCAAATGACATAAAACAATACTGCAAATTAAAACATTGGATCTTAAATGTTCTTTCCTCAAAGTGCATTTTCAGAGAGATTTAAAAACAGGCCCCATTCAATGACTGCTCTTTGTCTTTATAAAACTATGTAGTACCACCCAGGTGGGAGCAGAACGTAGCTCATTGGCTACAGCACAGAAAGAGAAACACAACTACAAACCTGAAAACTCAGAGAAGCCCATTGTAACTACGGTCAAAGCTTATATATCACCTTTATATGATAAAATATGGTCATCACAAAAAAATGTTTCCAGTATTATGGAATAATGTCCCTATCATAAAAGTAACAGCATTTGTGACTCTCTTAAGAGAACCTGGTATTTTACTAAAGGCTGTTTCTTGCCTGGTGTGGAAGAAAGGCTTCTTTCAAAAAATGCTGGCCATCTGGAAGAGTAACTGTCCTATTTAATTCTGTAATTGACAGGCAGAGTCCCTACTTACTTCAGGGGGAATCTTCTTTTGTGTAGCATCTATAAGCTCAGTCCCTCTGACTTGCACTTCTCACAGGGTGTCCACAGTGGTAAAGTAGATTCTCTCATGTTGCAAGACTATAAATAAGAATGAAATCTCTGTGTTACATTACCGCTTCTGATACACGGTGACACGGATGACGTCCTTTTAATTTCCTTTCCAAAGCAGGAGCCCGTGCAGGCGGCTGTCGGTGATGCCCTGGGGCCCTCTGCTGAGTGGACCTTGCTCCTGCTGCTGGTTGGAAATTAAAGAAGGAAATCAGGGGAGGACAGTTGCTGTTTCTGTTCCCTGCTGCCTGCTTGTCCTTTCTGACCTCTTCAGATACGAAATCGAAATTTTAATGACTTCCTAAGTAGAGTTAAAAGCATGAAAACATTTACAGTGCACAGAGAAAGGGCATTTTGGAATCTGCTCTTCTGGAACAAAAGAACAAAGAATTTCTGTGGCCTTGGTTTTTGTAATTGGGACAAGGTAGTACAGACTTCCCCCTTCCTAACAGGTACATACGCACTCAAGTACACTTTGTTTTCAGCAAGAAAACATGGCAAGAGCGTCCCTTCCTCAACCATAACAAGACTAGTTTTTGTAAAGTGCTTTATACTATAAAAACGTGCCCCATGGATAAATTGTTTAACATTTATTTAATCATAAATTGGATGGGAAGGATGGGTTGGTTTTATTTTGGTCTTTTTCCCCCTCCCTCCCATTCAGCAACAGTGAAGAAGCTTTCTGCAAAAAGAAAGACTGTTCTTTGTACAGAGTAATGGACTGAACCGTCTTGCAAGACTTGATTATAGTGGTATGTCTGAGCACTGTGACAGATTATGTTAGCATTTCCATTATATTGTACATACTTTTGAAATACTCTATTTAGTCATATTTTATAGGAGTATTAAAAAGCTATCGGCTAATTAATCACTTTTACACTTGTATAATTCAGAGCTTAGTTTAAAAAATAAATATGGCAAACAATATTTTTGTGTTCTGCTTGTGTTAGCATTTTGAAAAGCAACATTTAAAGACTGAAACTATATTAATAAACTAACTGGTGTGGTGTATACCACTGCTCTCTTAACTGGTAGAACTGAAAATGCTTAAATGTGACATGACATAGGCCAAACTGTTACAATAGAAACTGGGGGAGGGAGGGGCGGAATAGCCCTCTTATTGGTAGGATATGCCATGTTCCATTTTAAACTGTTGCAGTTTCACAAAGCCATGTGAACTTGCACTGGTTTGCTGTGGATTTGGCGAGCTGTATGCAAAGAAAGCATACAGCGCAATCCCCAGTGAGCAAAAGCACATCCCTGACAGCTGACCTGGTTCTTACTGTGCTTTTATAATAATGGGTAAATACAGCAGGCATCAGTGCTTGAACAAGGAACATGGCATCCAGCTACCAACCAGGCTGGAGAAAATGTTCTATTAACTTTAATTATTACAAAAAATGAAACTAATGGTTTGTAGTCTCTTGCGTCAATTTGTACTGGATCTTGCAAAAGGCTGGAAACCAGGTGATGAGTTTGATTAACTGTCTTGTGAAATTCTTGTATTTGATCACTTAGATCTGCATTTGAATTTTTTTTTTTCCTGGGTGCCTGGCATAAAAGACTCAGTTTCTCAAAGGATGATTGTTCACGATTCTGAAAATTAGACGAGCTTAAGAAGTCTCGTTGGAAATGTAAGCTCTGAGCTCACTGATTCCTTTTGAAAAGACAGGCCTTAACTTATGTGTTCTGATTAGAGAAAGCAGTAATAGTCATCTTACAGAGTACTTCAGAGGTAAAATGCCCTGTAGGGGGCCTGATTTATTCTTCGCTGTTGAGCCCAAATGAGCTTTCCCCAGCTACAGTAAGGTTCTTCATCTGATCTGATTGAATTGTGGAATTACCTACATGCCAATTGTGGCTCTTCCTTCTTGCTTGGTGCTGGAGACAGCACCTGGACGTAAGCTTCAAGGCTTCAGTGGCAAATGGTAGGGAGCTGTATGTCCCCACAGAGTCTCAAACTGGCTGAGGACGTGACTGTCTGTAGGCATGTAATTTCAATATGC